GTCTCCACTTCCTACACAGGCTGAAGAAGGCCAGCCTCCCCTCTCCCATCCTCACCACATTCTACCAAGGTGCCATCAAAAGCACCCTCTCCTGGTTACATGACTGTCTGGTTCAGGAACTGCAGCGCCAGTGACCGCAAGTCCCTGTACTGGGTAGTGAGGAAAGCAGAGAGAATCATGGAGCTCCTCTCCCACCCATCACCGGACTGCAGAGGAAATGTCATCTGCCTTGCAAACAGCATGGTGGCAGACTCCTCCCACCCATCCCACAGCTGTTCACCGCCCTGCCATCTGGTAAAAGGTTCCGGAGCATCCAAACCACCACTGCCAGACACTGCAACAGCTTCTTCCTCCAGGCAGTCCAGTTCCTCAACACTCTACTGCCCTTCCAAGGACTGACAGTGCTCCACTAGTCAGCTCCCCAACCTTAAAGACTGTTACTTTCCCCATCAGAGTATTATTTGAGTATGACAATAAGTATTAATTGTAATAAACGACTGGTTGATAGCAAAACAAAAGTTTGACTTATTTGTTTTAAAAATGTGCCTTGTGACTATCACTTTAGAATTCACAAGACCTTATTTCACACATTGGCCTACAGTTTCCATTATGTACTATGATTTTTTTCCAGTACGGAGAAGATTTATCAGGACAATGAGACAATAAGAAGAGAGACCATGGTGAATAGCGCCAAAGTGTTTGTCACAACATCTTGGGATTTCATTCACTCAAAGATGGACACTGAGAGGGGACGTCGCTTCTTTAAAGAGGTGAGTCACCTCCTGATACTGTAATTTTAGCAATTTACCACAGAACCCTTTGATTGTTAAAATGATTTATTAATTCCAGAACCCTCATCTTAAGCTAAAGCTGTTCAGTGATTAAGCTGTTATATATTTAATTTGTACACGCTTCTATTAAATATGATGATACCGATTTTGTACTTTAACTGAATTATACCCCTGAATCTAAACTTAAGCAAACTTAAGCAAATGATTCTCATTAAATAATTCGATTTCTTTCCCAATAAGTGAGTGGGGATTGAATTATATAGATGGATTAAAATTTTAAGTATCAGAATGTTCTGTTGTCTGCCATACGTAATGGTCGTCTTCTGTTCTCCTGCCAGATTCTACACAGCATCTTCTTCCATTGCCACATTTACAGAGATCCAAAACTTAACAGACAAAGCATTGATCCAGAAGAAATTCTAGATGAAACGCTTCAGTCAGAACTGGCTGTAATTTATCCAGATGTGTTCGAATCGTACACATCCCAGTTGCCCCGTAGATCTCCTTTCTCAATACTGTTGGAAGTGGTAAGAGATCCGGAATAATCTCTGACATACTCCTAAACACTCTTTGACATGTTCACAGTTC